AAACACCCCGAAACAATAACGGTATACAAATCAAATCATAAATGTACAACATACCTTGATACAAAAGTTGAAATGTAACTTTACAAAGTATCATTAGAGGGATCAACTAATTATAATTTATAATTTTGCCAACTTACTTCAATTCTTCTCCCCCTAAGCTGGTAATATATCTCAAATATTGGGGCAATTCTTCACTTACTTAGAATATAATTTCATGTTCAACAAATATTATCTCGCAGGATAATTATATATATTTAACAAATTTCTATCTCTTCTGGAGAATAATGAAATTTTGTTCTCTTCTAGAGATCAATATTAATAGGGAGTCATGAATTGTGCAGTTGTCTATTTTCTTATTCTATTTCTTATGTGCTGACATAAAATAGCCCTAATTAAGAGATTAATTTACTATTAAAATCATTTGTATGAAAAACCACTATATGGTGATCTTCTAATTCTCCAAATAATGAATTTCTAGCTACTTACAATCTCTACACATACAAGTTGTTTTAGTGAGCTTCTGGCCACTTATTACTTGTTCACATGCAAAAGCATATAATCTCTTGAAATTTTCTTCAAAACAAACTATTAAATCACAATCTAAATATAGCTCAATCTCAACGTTATGTCTTTCCATTCAATTCATTTCATATATCTAACATGATAGAGTGTCAGCATTCATATCAAATGAAACTTCGAGTTTCCAAAATGGGTAATTATGAAACCCAGATGGCCTAATTTAATTATCACATTCCATCACTTCTCTGAATTTGAACTTTGGTCAGTTTTCCAACACTGGTGATCACTTTATTAAACTTATTTTATGCATGGCCATAAATATGATGTGATATTAGAACACCAACATGTATTTCTTTATACCATTGGCAAGACAATAAACTAATATTTGATCTAATACTAACTCATACTTTATAGGAGTTTTGACTATAATTTGATACATACTAAGCTTGTTGGACATTTTATACTCTTCTGTAATATTTTAAATAATTATGGTAGATAATCTTTTTAAAGATCTATCATAATGTATCACTTCCTCAAATTTGCTATTGTCAATAATTGCTCCTTTCCTGATCCAAGATTCTTATTTAGGATCATTAGTAACTGATGTTATCCTTCTGGGACATTAGTTAAAATTGAAGCATTTACATTTGATATATAGTCAATGCCATTTATTCATATCCGTCTTCAGGATGGTGTCATTAAATATCTAATAATTATGTGGCCGCCTCTATTTTATATAAATCATTGATATTTAAGTTGATGTATGTAACAAACTGATCATAATGTATCTTATTGTTTATGTGTAAGGATTACATAAAATAATGGAATAAATACAATATTTCCCTAATCCTTGAATATGGGGCACGAAATGAATGCAACAACCTTTAAATCGCTTGCACCTTTTAAGGCATAAATTCTTTTAGCAATGCATGTATTAAGCATAATAAAACTATTCTTATAAATCTCGATCTAACTCTTTCCCAATAAGATGTATCTTTGTTTTTAATATTCTTAAAACTATGAGCATAATATTTATATTTATCAAGTAAAGTTGCTCACAAATTCATGTCATGATGATATACATGATTCTTTGCAATCATACAAATTCTCATTCACATCTGGGAATGAGTAAATCTAGTAACTTATGGATTATCAATTCTCACCTTGAGTTCAATACTTGGAATATTATTCAAAACCTAGCCTTTTAATTTGTTTATTCTTTTTCATGGCGTTAGGGAGAGAATAAACTTATAATAATAGCCTTGCTCATTTGTAACAAATATTAGTTGTGCTCATATGTACATGCTCTCATCTCATTATGAAATCAAACCAAATGGATGTATGATCATCAAACAAGTTAAGATGAGAGCGTTTAAATAACAATTAGTTACTCCAATATATATCGGTTTATAGGAGAGGATGAAATAGGTTTCATTCATGTCCCATATTTTGCAAAATTGCAACAAATATGTATTATCTATATATTTGAATGTGAGAACATGTAATTCATTAAAAATAAAAAAACTTTATTGTACCAAAGAAATCTGTACGAAGAAGCTTTTGGTACCATTTGATAAGATTAATTTCACTTTAACAATTTAATCTAATCTCTAAAATTAATCTGTTAAATTAACCCGTATACTATGTGCATATGTGAAAGCGTATCGGATTACATGATTATAGTAGATACACACAAGTAGAGCTTTCGTGCTGATAACGTATTGTGAAATAAAGAGAATAAAGAGAAATTGGGAAGATAATAGATCAGTCTATTATTCCATTAAGTAGGGGATATATATACATACAATATAATAACTAGGGTTTGTTTTGATAACAATAAACCCTGGATCTACAATATTCCGGAATGATACAAAAAGCATAATGGATATCCACACAATATTTTCATAACAACAATCAAGTTATTTGGATCAGTTTCAGATGTGATAATTCAAATTATGTCATTTCAAGTAAGATTCATTTGATTTCAAGTTTGAATTAAGTCGGCCCATTTTAGTTATATTGTTAAAATACTTAATTTAAATAAATTAATTATAATTGGAAACATGTATTATCAATTCAAGATCGAATATGGGTCGATTTTATAGAGCCTAGATTCAAATTGACTATGAATGTAACAACTCCGTTTCCACCTTTAAAAAAAAATCATTTGATGATTAAGTTGTCAAGAATCATATTAGGTCCATGATAAATGAAAGTGGGTAGTAGTGAAAGACCGACAATAATGGGCTGATAATACAAAATGGGTTGTGTTTGGTAGTACACTACCAACCCAATTAAAATGGCCAAGAAGAAGCCATTAGGGTTTTAGTGATAGTATAAAATGGAATCAAATGACCTCGTCTCTTACTGCTTACTCACAGCAGCAGCTATTGTTTCCATATTTTGTCGATGAATCTATTATAATCAATCACTTTCTTGCTCTCTCCAAAATTATTCATCTTTGTTTTTTTCGAAATTATTTATATATAATAATAGTGGCAAGTTGTGGAGTTAGAAAGTGGCAAATGATGAGAAATTTATTATAAAATGGCGAAGCTTTGCAATAAATCTCAATTATTATTGAGATTGCCAAGCCATGTTGCTTCTTACTTCCATGACTCTGATGCCTTTGCTCCCTTTTTATTTTTCTTCTGTTTTATTATTTTTTATTTAATTTGGTCTGTAATTAATCCTTTTGTTTTAATTTTTATTCGGTAGTCTAAGATTTACTTGTATATTATTTAGCGTCATTTACAAAAGATTTTTAAAAAAAAAATTTTAATGCTTTGATTTGTGAAGAAACTGATACCAATTGATCAACCCGTAATTAATTAATTTGGGTAGTTTCAAGTTGTGTTGTGCTTAATCCTCCCTTTGTGTGTAACGTACAATGGTAATTGTGGATTACTATCCCTAATTAATACGGATTAAGCCCCCAACAATACCTTAACTCAACCCAAAACTAGGTAAGTTCTGTTCATTTAAAACTGTTTTTTTTTAACTTGAGAAAATAAGTGTTTTAATTTGACTGCTCTATATTTCTATTGTTTGGTTGGTCTGATCTTCTAATTTAACTTAATTTAATTTTATCATTCTTGTATGCTACTAGTAATTTAGCTTTATGATCCAAAAAAAATATTTCATCAAAATCACAAACTCACTAATCCATTTCAGACTCTATAAGAAGTTCAAGTATATGAAAATAGTGCAATCTTTGACTGCATATATATTTAATATGATATGAGTAAAAATTCAAAAAAAATTGATAGAGCAATTGTGACCTATCTTTATACCCGAATTGCACATTAGTTGGAAACTTGGAACTTATTATACATTAATTAAAATAACATCTTATTTTTCCTAAAAAAAATATAAATATATATACATCTAATTTTATAACAAAGTGAAAAATATAATAAATAAATTTTAACAAAAATAATATTTGACATTAAGATTATTTCAACAACATTTCCTTACTCATAATTTTTATATAATACTCGGTTGTAAGAGATAGAGTACATTGTTTGGATCCTCCCCTACAGGCTCACCCCAAAAGATGTATAGGTTTCCCGCCAGTTTAATATTGTGGAAAGAATTTTGTTTGCAATCCAACTCCATCCAAAATTCAATTCTGAATTTGTTCCCAAACTATGTTCACCTTGTCCAATTCAAATTGTCCAACAATCAAGGTGACTAATAAGATAATTTTAAACTGCGGAATGATAAATCGTTGGCAATTGAAATAGACATGATTTAATTCCTATCGAATCAAACAAACTCGATAAAAAATGTTCATTTTAGAATTTAAACTTTATCTGAAATTATATGAAGTGAATTTTAGTCAAACTCATGCTCACTCTAGCAACGCATTGCCCAACAATCAATATATTTAATGATAATGTCAAACTACAAAATTATGATTCAATTCAAATCAAATCAACTCAAACTTGAAATCAACCAAAATGTAAACAAACATGACCCGTCCTAAATCAATTTAATCGGAACTCAATCTAAATGACATGATTGCCGGGCAAGACAACTGACCAATGGATGGAGGTTGATTTAGCTGCCACTTCCATCGGCTAAGTACGCTATCATCAGCACCTATTGAAACAGTCTCACCGTCCTCAACATAGTCTCTCGCCTCAACAAGCACGTCTTCTTTAACGAAGTAGCAATTACCATATTGTTAACGGGAGTTTGAGTTACAATAAAGGCCGATTAAATAATCTGGTAGAAATAGTAGAACACTATGATGCATCCATTAACATGGAAAATATAGAAAACAGTATTCACAGACTGGTGCGTTGAGATATACTCCGAAAATAATCTTTAACATTGGGGAGTAAGAGCTGTGTCTGCCCTGGCATATGTAAGCAGATCAGGCTGTTTTTGTCTTTGTCGAATCGTTTTCGAGAAATTATTTGTACGAATCAAGGGGAGAAACTATAATTTAGAATACTAACGAAACAATCCAAGAATGAACAAAAAGCTAATCTCCACTGAGATGCAAAGATATTAAGATGGTGTAAAAAGGGTAAAATTTCACTTAATACAAGATATACTCCAAGAAGCATACAAACCAAGAACAACAAATTAATATAATGCAAGTAATAGTTTCAATTACGAGTGATCAAGATGGAAAAAGGAAATTGAAAAAGAAGCATATGACAACAGTTTGTGTATTACTAGCCCTCGTAAGCCTCCTCAGCTTCATTCTCATAGTCTTCCTCATAATCGGCAGTTGCATCCTGATATTGTTGATACTCCGCCACAAGATCATTCATGTTACTCTCAGCCTCGGTGAATTCCATTTCATCCATTCCCTCCCCCGTGTACCAATGCAAGAAAGCCTTGCGCCTAAACATAGCAGTAAACTGCTCACTCACCCTCCTAAACATCTCTTGGATGGAAGTCGAGTTACCCACGAATGTGGAAGACATCTTTAGACCGGTGGGTGGGATGTCACACACACTTGACTTCACATTGTTTGGGATCCACTCTACAAAGTAGGACGAGTTCTTGTTCTGGACATTGATCATCTGCTCATCTACTTCCTTTGTGCTCATCTTACCACGGAACATGGCAGAGGCAGTGAGGTACCTTCCATGTCGGGGATCAGCAGCGCACATCATGTTCTTGGCATCCCACATTTGCTGAGTTAGCTCTGGGACAGTGAGGGATACATACTGCTGGGACCCACGAGAGGTAAGTGGGGCAAAACCCACCATGAAGAAGTGAAGCCTGGGGAATGGGATGAGGTTCACTGCAAGCTTCCTGAGGTCGGAGTTCAATTGACCAGGGAATCGGAGACAGCATGTCACTCCACTCATTGTGGCCGAGATCAAGTGGTTCAAGTCACCAACTGTCGTGCCAAGCAGACATCAAACACATTAATAAACCAGTCAACCTTTTCAGTACATTAAAGAAGTTGCAAAAATACTGACTCCGGATGAAACATTAAATTATGAGCATGTTCTTAAGATGCGATCCTGAATCAACTTGGCAAGAATTGGACCTGACAGAACTATAATTTAAAAAAAAATTAAGATGCGATCATGAATCAACTAGCAAGACATCCTAACAAATAATAACATACAGCAAATCATCAAAAGAACAAAAAACATGCTTACAGCTAGGGTTGCTGAGCTTCAAGGTCCTAAAGCAAATATCATACAACGCCTCATTGTCCAAAACCATACACTCATCAGCATTTTCAACCAATTGATGAACCGAAAGAGTAGCATTGTAAGGCTCAACAACGGTATCAGAGACTTTCGGAGATGGAAAAACAGAGAAGGTAAGCATCATCCGATCAGGGTACTCCTCTCTGACCTTGGAAATCAAGAGAGTACCCATACCAGAACCTGTACCACCTCCAAGAGAGTGACATACTTGAAAACCTGCCGCCAAAATATAAATACACAGTCTTAAGTAAGTAAGCTCATAACTTCATACATAAGGTACATATAGTACATGGTCCTTTTACTTTTAGATCATATAATTAACAAGTCAAAACCAAAAAGTCTCAACTTTTTTTTTTTTTTAAGTCTGATTATCAAACCCATAAAGTCTTCTTTATGTTTTTTGTGTCAATATGATCAATTACATACACCAACGTGTTATGATCCTATCCATTTCCGATCTTCAGATTATAACACCTACGTTAGGAAAATAAAATTAAAACCCGTATTCTCTCCCTTCATGAAATTCCCAACCGTTCATTTAAGATATCGACTGTTCAATTCATGAATAAAATAGAGTAACAATAATGATCACCGACAATAAAAATCAGTAGAAAAGTCATTTACAAAGCAAACAACCCACGTATGTAATAATGTAGATCAACAGTATAATAGCATTATTAAATTAATAAATACAAATTATAACAATGAGAATTAAAATCAGATTATTAACCCAACAAATTATAATCCTAAAACCTTGACTAAATCCGATCAAATACCCACCAAAAAAAATTATCAATACAAATATTAATCAAATGAATGACATAAACATGATCATAACTCAATAAAACATTTCTTATAAACATGAAATACACAATCTAATCAATAAAAAACAATTTAAAAAAAAAAAAAAACATTCATAAAAATAAAAATTACCTTGAAGGCAGTCACAATTCTCAGCCTCTTTACGAACAACATCAAGAACAGAGTCAATAAGTTCAGCACCTTCGGTATAATGACCTTTAGCCCAATTATTACCAGCACCAGACTGACCAAAAACAAAGTTATCGGGCCTAAAGATTTGGCCCAATGGGCCGGATCTGATGCTATCCATGGTACCGGGTTCAAGATCCATGAGGACGGCACGGGGGACGTATCGGCCCCCGGCCGCCTCATTGAAATAAACATTAATACGCTCTAACTGAGTATCAGCGGAACCACCTTCAACAAGGCTAAACCTGCCAGTTTGATCAACACCATGTTCATCACAAATTACCTCCCAAAATTTTGAACCTATTTGGTTACCACATTGCCCTCCTTGAATGTGCAAGATTTCCCTCATTTTTTTAGGTTTTTGAAATTGGAGATTTTGCTATAATGAATGAAAAAAAAAATGAAGATCTGAAAAACAAAAATGGTTGCACAAAAAACAGAGAAATGTTTGCAGGGGAGTTGAGGGGGTGTAGGAGAGAGAATATATGGGGGAAGAGTTTTTGGAGGGTAGAGGAGAGAGTGCTGACAGTTGGCACCAGGGGTAAGAGGTGGAATTTTTTTTTTACACTTTCTTCATTATCCTTTAATTACATTATATTTGTCAATGCACATTTTATAAATATTTCATCTTAATTATAACTTTTTTTCTAAATATTGTAAAAACTTATATTTTAAAATTGTACTTCTTCGTTCCTGTCCAAAAAAAAATTTGTACTTTTTCGTTTCCTATATTATAACAATTATCATTTTAGAAAGTTTCATGATATTGCAACGTTTTCTTATTTTGCATGTTTTCTCTTTAACTCTCTCATCATGAGTCTCTAATTCTATGACTTTTGATCACTCTTTTCACCTTAAAATCCGTACAATACCCCAATGTTGCAAATTAGTAATACTCCCTCCGTTTTTTTATAAGCTGGAGTTGGGATTTTCCACTATTTATATGTCATCATTGACTTAATTTTTGTACCAATGTATAATTTATAAATATAATCATATAATATATTGTTGGATTTGGTCTATTTTTATAAATTAATTTTTCATAATTTTTATTAACCTCTAATTAAAGATATTGATAGTTAAAGTTATGATTCAGAAAATGTGCAAATTCAAATTTAACTAAAAAAAAAATAGATTGCATAAAATGAAAAAATGGAAATTGCAATCAAAAGAAAATAGAGAAAGTATTTTAACTTTTTAAAAAAATAAATAAATAATTAAATTAAATTGTTTGGGTTAATAAAACAATAAATGAAGAGGCGGGATATTTTTGAAGAGTAACCGCTTGGTTTATTTGGCAGTTGTAAATTTTTTTTTTTTTTATTAATTTTAAATTTTTTGGTTGTTGATTAAGGAAGGTGAGGATGAGGGTGAGAGTGTGGGGTCCCACGTTTTAGTATTGATTGATTTGATATTCATGGTTGTATGGCTGACCAAATTGGACAATTTTAATGGAAATTGTAGCAAGAGTACAAATTATTAGCAGATTGGATCTACCTTTGCCAATGCATACATATTTTTCATAGTTTTATTATCACTGTTTTTTTGGGAATTATTATTACTCTTAATCATTGATCGTACCCGTTTTACATCATTGTGCTTTGGTGCAATGTTGATAGGTTGGCCTGTCAAACTGGATGTTGAAGTCGGGTTATACTACGTAGTTGGGTTCTTTTTGTTCGGGTTATAGACTTATAGTTTTATTCGGATCCCTACTACTTGTATTTACTTATCCTTTCAAGATTCAGTCGATTTAGTTCAAGTAAAATATGAGTCAATGAAAGTCAAATATCTATTAATCATTAACAAAAGATCAATCTTATTACAGTGATATAGATCTATAATAAGTTAAATTGAATTGAAGTCAGGGTAATAAGTTGAGCTGGTCAAATAACAAATTGGATGGAATGCCTCAAGTCAACAAGTGGATTTAACATCGAATCTAGGCAGTATCAGGTTGTATTAAGTTCACTACGAATATAGAATCAAAAAAAAAAAAAAATCATAATGAATATCAAGTCTTTCTCAATTGGGTACTGTACAAGTAAACACAATATTCAGATCAACGTCAAGAACTAATATTCCCGCAATTCGGTGTCATTCAAGTTCAAATCTCAAAGTCGCATGTTAACTCGAATGTTGGGCTAATTTTGGGAAGGGTTGTTTAGCTGCTAGAGTAAATTAACAATTTCCAATTTCAAATGGAATCATGGTAATTTTCTAGTCAATATTACATTGTCATATAATTTCACCTAAAGAATCACTCGTCAATTTAAACAAAAGCACATATGTGAATATCATTGTTTGAAGATTTGAAACAGATGCCGAAATAAATTTGACATACAAACTCTATTACGAGTAAATTGGAGTAGCACGATGAAGATAGAAAGGAGGTAACTACTAATAAATTTGACATAACTACTCGGTTTTAATTATGAAACGTTGAGAAATTTTGATAACCTTTAAGTAGGGATTTGATACTCCATACTAGATTAAGGGGGCGTTTAGTTGTCTCGTATTAAGAATACTCTCTTTGTTCCTTATTTTTTGCCTCATATGACTCATAAAACTCTCACAAACAAGTGGGTCATGGAGCAAACAAAAAGGGACAGAAGGAGTATTGGATTAGAGGCATTTGGTTTATAAACGAAAAAGGAAAAGAATCTAAGAAATAAAATTGAGGAGAATGGAAAACAAGTCCCTTTGTTATTCTACATTGTTTGGATATGATTTTATTTTTTTCGCCTTTTAACGTCATCATTTTTTCTTAATGTTCTCACCGCTTGTGCACAGCCTCCCTGACCAACCACCATCTCCCTCCTTCACCATTCCTCACGGCAGTCTCCTATTTCCTTCTCTCATCAATGCTCTCCTTCAACTTCAACACCTTGCCACAACCCGTATTTGACCCCTCACTGATTTTACGGCCATGAAAAGTTTAGAGTTAAGTTTTCATAATCGAATTCAACCATATAACCTCTTAATTATCAATATAAAAAAGGGTATCTTTCCTTTTATTTTGTACTCCATGATATATATATATATATATATATATATATATAAAGCCGGTCTCGCAGCCGGACACTTGACATTTCATTTTTTCGCCAAGTGTCGTTCCACGTAAGCGAAAAATAGATATTATTATGACACATGATACTATATAAGTTAATTTTGGATACTTTTTTTAAGATAAAAATGTTAGTGTTTTATTATCAATATACTTCTAATATTTCATATATACAAAATTAATCATAACTTTTTAATAAATATCCTATAACTCGATTCCATTTCCATCATAAGATTCATTTTAAAAAGTTCTTTAAAATAAGATTCATTTATAATATATTTAATTTAGTAAAAATAATAATAGAGAATCAACAAAAATAAATTATAACCAGTAAAAATAATTTTAGTTTGATAAAAATACTTTCAGTTTAGTAAAAATAATTTATATGCGATTGGATATCGTATGTCTAAATATCCTGCATTACCAAAGAGATTACATGCCCGTATTAATAAATATTCAAGCCAAAAAACATATCCTAAAATTTTATCAACAATCCAGGCATCGCCCGGACACAAAAATAATCACTAATAAATAAAGTTGATCTCGCAGTAAGGCTACGAGACAACGATACTTAACATTCCACTTTTTCACCGAGTGTCCAACATGTAGGCGAAAAATAGGTATTATTGTGACACATATGATACTAAATAAGTGAATTTGGATTATTATTTTTTTATTAAGATAAAAATGTTATATAGAATTTTATTATCAGTATACTTCTCATATTTCATATATACAAAATTAATCATAACTTTTAATAAATATCTTATAACACTATTCTATTTCCATCATCAATCGTTTTAAAAATTTCTATAAAATAAGATCAATTTATAATTTATTTAAAAAAATAATAGAGAATTAGTATAAAAAAAAAAAAAAAAAAAAAAAAACAATTCAAGTTCAATAAAAATAATTTCAAGTCAATAATAATGTACATACATATCTATTCATACAAAAAGTACACTATAATTTAATTAAATAAGCAATATGGCATCATATGTCTAAATATCCTACATCATTCAAGCAAAAAAGTTTATAGTGAAATTTTATCTGGGCATCCTGAGTACAAAACGTGTGTATATATATATATATATATATATATATATATATATATATATATATATATATATATATATATATATATATATATACACACAAAAGTGTAAAATTACATATTTTGAGTATTCCTTTTCATTGATCAGGTGTGATCTTGAAATACCTAAATGTTCAAAGGTTGACCCGACCCAAATGACCTGATTCGAATTTGGTCCAAAGTCTTGACCAAAAACACGACTCACCATAAATGAATCTAACCAAAAATGACTTAATTCGGATTTGACCCGAAATCTCTACCCAATCTAAAATGACCTAATCTAAATTTTACCCCAACTATAAACCCGAAGCCCGACCCAATTGTCAATTAACAGGAACATACACGAAACCCAAGTTGACCCAACCTAACCCACCTCAAACCCAAAGGCAGCCCAAAACAATCCGAATCAAACAACCCGATTGTCGAGTGTTCTCAAAATCATGGCCCAACACTTTATAGTGGTAAAAAATTACAACTACAAACTATATTTTAAAGTAAAATTTCTCTTTAATTTTTCGTTTCCCCCTACAAGACCAAAAAAAAAATTCAATTTTCTCGTTTGTAAGAACTTTTTTAATTGAAAAATGTGACAGCACATTTTACGCTTACTAGCCAAAAAAAGGACAAGATTTCCATTTTCTTTTTTCATCCCGGACTTTGTGAAAATTCTTACACCCTGCCCAAGGTTATTTGTTGCTCATTTGATGATTAAACGAGCAAAATAATCATCAACATGAAGAAAAAAAATACCCTCCCGGATGAATATAACTTTTGAGACTTTTGAGCATGACTGACACCTTATGCTCGCTTCCTTTTCATCAGAATCTCCCTCGCATCTTCTCTCATCTCAATATCTTTTCTACTTTGTCCCCTCTCTTTCTTGCTTCTTGACATCTTATCATTCTCACTCTTTGGTCACGACCCAAGCTCTTCTTGTCGCAAAATTGCAAAAGAGAAATGAGTCAGATGACATCTCTTCATGTCTTTCCCTTTCCTTAAATTTTGATCTGATGCAAACCCTGTTACTCTTTCAGTAATCAAGTCACCAATGTGTGAAATGGATAGAGCAACTAGGTATTAACCAAAACATAGCTTAGTAACCAAAATTTACCCAGAATAATATTGATCAAAATCAACATATACGCTTTCGTATTTATGTATAACCAAGAAAAAATTGCAATCAATCAATCAATCAAGAGAATCAAAAGAGAGGTAGAACTCTTTAACTCATAACATAGAATGCTCCAGACATACTCAACAACTCAACACAACCATATGAGCTAACACATCAAAGGTACTGAGGCAGACCTGATAACTATCAATACGAAACTAAAAATCAACATCAAATGAAGGGGGAAAAAATTGAAGGGAAAAAATAGAAAAATAATCGAACCTCTACCATTTATTACAATACCAAGAAAAAGATCAGATTTGCACGCACAAATTTTGGGCGAACCTAAATGATATCCGCAAGGGAATCAATCATTCTCGAACAAACCAACCTAATCAACCAAGACAAAGTAACTACACAAGAACTCCAATTTATTTTTCTAACCTGGGTCTCCATGGAAGGATTGGTTTGTTAGGTATCTTTTAAATCCACCAAAATCTATGATTTCTCCCCCACTGCTAAAATACGAATGCTGATTGCTTACGCTAACCACTGAGAAAGAAATCGAAGATAGAAACTGCTACTAACACAATACCATCAACAAATGCATAATTTTTCAACTGAAAGGGAGAAAATTTTGCACAAGGGAAAACTAATCGAAAACAATTACCAAATTGGAAAGAGCTGAAAATCTAAACTAATTAGTACCATCTTCAATTTCTGAAAAACTCTATGGCTCAGGCAACGGATTAAGGCTTAACGTTGAAGAGCATCATTGCAAATCTTCTTGAAATTGGAAGACTCTTCTACCACGAAATCGCTGTTCCATGAGATCCAAAAGGCACAAATGCAGATAAAATGAGTAACATAGGAGTAAAGCAGTAAACTTCAATAAAAATAAAAATAACAATAAAAAATAAAAAATAAAAAAGGGCAAACCAAGACTACAGGGAACATTACAATATCCGCGAAGCCATTTCTGAAAGTTCCCATCTAGGACTCCATGGGTACTCAGACATAACGGGTGACCTGACTGGGACCCCTTGTGTGTTGAAATGCTGCAAAGATAAATGTTTAAACAGGATATCAATAATAAATCCTGGTACTATGCAAGCAGATATTTAAATGAGCTTTGTCTCATCTCAAAATGACTGATTAATATTGACCCAGCTGTTTTAACAACACAATAAGATTGTTACAAGTAGATAACCGCAAGTTGAAAGTATGATAGCAAAAGAAATTAAAAAAAAATATATATATCTAAATAAAAAGAGGAAGAAATCATTTATTTCAAGGGTCAAAATATCTGTCCGGAAAGAAATTGATATCTTGTTTCAACAAATGCTCAATTTCCAATGGAACATGTACTCTATCTACTACATACATCAAAGTCTAACTCTTAGATATAGCTCTATAGCCTTTATGTAGTCACACAAGAGAACCAATTCCCCCTAAGCCTAACTTTAAACTTCTAAAATGCTCTGATAGCTTCATGTAGATGAAGATCCAATTTATTCAACACATAAAATTTCATTTAAAAGTTTATACTATTGTAGATCAGATGATGTCAGCACTGGGGCTGTGATAATGAACCGAGCTCAAGCCTAGGTAAGCTCAGCTCAGCTTGCAACAACTCATAATGTGAGTTGGGTGGGCCAAGCCCGAGTAACTTAAACAAGGGTAACAAACTCCAACCAAGCAAACGCTACAAGTAACAGAAACCCTATTAAAATAATTTGTTAATACTTTAAGGTCCTTGACAACTAAAAGTATAATCGAAATTCTTCATATCTAGAAGTGAAAATGTCTGATCTAAAATACACATTCAAATTATATTCATGAGCTTTTCGAATTTCAAGTCGAGCATAAGTCGTTCTGTTCAGTTTGGCAGGGTCTCATGAGACCAAGCTTGAGTCAATCTTGCTTGATCCAAGCTTTGACAGAACTAAACTCAGGTAACTAGAGCAAACTCAGCTCATTATTACCCCTACTCTTTACACAGTTAACGCATTAAACAAAGACAGATTTTTTAGAAACCATGATAACTCCAACATCCGCCAATAGCAGGAATTATAAAATCATCAACCATGACAGTATCACATGACACACACAGTAAAGCTATATTTTTAAAGCATGTCGATAATTTTTTGCAGTCATCAACTTAACTACTCCAGTGCTCGTAAAACACACTCAAATCATGCGAATATTTTCCACTTAGGCTTCAGCATGCATATTAAGAAAAGTAGCTAAGGTGGGATAAAATGTGATTACTCCATATATAAATGTTAAAAAAATAATAAAAAGAAAGAAAAAAAAAGGTAGAAAGAGAAAGTGTAAAAATTGAGAATAAAGAAGGGTTGGTTTGACACAGAGAGTAGTACAAAAAAGTGGAGCCTTCACAAGGGAAGAGGAGTAGTAAAACTGTAAAAGAGAGTTGAAATTGATCAAAATAGTAAACTGGAGATAAAGTTGGGTCGGAGGAGAAACAGAAATGTAATAAGACAATACCTGTGAGCTTTGAAGGATCAAAGTTGGTTTTTGCTTGGGGAAGTGGATGGGTATAAAAATATGCACCTGCAATAGAAGAAAAACTAAACATCAGATCATAGACTGGTTGATAACTGAAAAGTTGAAATATTAGACTTAATCCACACCCTAAAAAGCAAAAAAGCACAAATAACAGAAGTGGGGGCTCGGAAGGGGGCATTTAAACACAAGCAGAAAAACACGCATATGAACAAAAGAAGAAGAATCCAATATATGAAATTGTGTGCTTTGTTTTAAACAAATACAGACATAATGTTCAACTCAACCATACAACAGCCCATACATCTCCAGTTCTTCAATATCACTTGAGAAAAAAAAAAAAAAAAATTAAATGAATACACATATAGTCTTAAATGAGCTACAAAAGTAAAAGAAAGGAAAACCTATCATACCAAAAATGTAAATACTCCATTAGCAACAAGAAATGTTGCCTCTCTGCAAAATATCTGCAAAGAAATATAAAAAATTAATTGGTGAATATAGTCAAAACACAGTAGATGATTTAACATTTATAGCACATACTGGATCAGCTTCTAAAGGCCTTCCAAAGACGGTTGATAATGTCTCAATAAAGTGCCTCCTGACTCCAATAAGAGAAACTGCCTCCAGGATCTTGATTATATAATTATACATCAGTCAGCTATAAGTGACAATATGGGGATAAAACTGAAAATTTGTAGAGAGCACGGGGGGAGGGGAACCTGCATCTGCAAAGTCTCTTCTAAAGCAGGAAGATACTCAGCCATGCACCTGAGGATAAGGAACAAATATTAACAGAGGTATGATGGACTTGATGGTGGCACAAGGAACAAAGGCACACCATCTCTGAACATGGTCCTTTCGAAGTTTCACATGACTTACATTCCATTTAACCAAGTCGGAAGTTTGATATCTTCAACAGAGAACAGAGACTTCAGCTCTAAAGTTGATACCAATTTCAAACGTGGAGCTGAAGGAGCAGATTGATACTTTCTACCAATTGGATATATTACCTGAAACCAAGACATTATTAGTATGGGCATGGGGAACTAGGGAAGACTCAAGATAGAGAATGTAGAACCAATATGTTTCTGATATGATTAGAAATTGACTTTTAATAAGAATTGTAATCATAGCTGCATTATATGTGTCCTTAGACCTTAATCACCTTATTTTAATTGCTTATGAATAATTAAAAACACATTTTTTTTTCTTCTACAAAAAACAGAAATCCTCGCTATCTTCTGGGTGAGACATTTAGCTTTAAAAATATATTTCTCGCTTCGCAAGATGGCCATGTATCTTTAGATCTTTTGTTATATATAGGTGCAATACTACTTATCTTCAGTTCACTATGTTGAAGAGGAGCAGAATAAAGGACTTCATTCCTTTCATTTGAGAAACTTTAACAGCAAAGCAGGGTTACCTAGTATGTCCAGTTTGCAAATGTACTTCAGGCACACAATATGTATCCCATTAGGTACTATACCCTAATTTCCAATGCAACAAAGACAAAATAGCTTTAGCAAAAAGACTATGAAGATAAAATTTAGGACGGGAAACCTACTTTGATAGCTTTTGCTTTAGTATATTACTTGTATGGACAACTGAATGCTACAGGGTATTACATGTCATCACATCCACAAGTAGTTAAGATATAGAGTAATGACTAAAGAGCTAGCCAATAAGTACTGTACTGAATTAGCACTCCCTCTAACCTAAAATAAAGATATTCTTCACTTTTAGCAAGGAAATTAAAGAGTGTGCGTGTGATAAGAAGACTTTCATCCAATTGTACAAATTTACCCCAAAAAGCATGTATCATTCCAAATACTCCGTAATCAACTGTAGAGGAAAATTTGAGAATCCATATAACTTTACTGTCATTAACAAGAAAGTTTAACATCATTTAAGGACATTTCAAGATTTGCAAAAGTATTCATAGGCTTATAGTTGTTTGAGCTCTAATACTTGTCTTTGCAACTTATTTGTATCTATAGCCCGCCCTAAAGATATCAAAGGCAACACTCTTTGATGCTCCTACATGTCAAAGGAGTAAAATTTTCACTAATCTTCTCCCTCATATATAGGTCTCTTCCCACAGGTTTGGGTTTTTTTTTTTTTCTTTTGGGGTGGGGGGTGGGTGGGGGTGTCCTTTACCAATATACCAGGAGAAGAGATTTTCAAGTAAAAACTCTCCAGCCAAAATGATGAAGGGAATAAGTGGTAAACACAAACCAATTATCATTTATTAGGTGCAGACACTGAAACAGCAGTCACCTTCCATGCAATGATGGAAACCAAACATCAAATTAACCACACACCAAAGCAATATATCATATTATTGCCAATTTAACTTTCAATCAGCAATTCAACAGATGTGGAAGGGTTTTTTTTTTTTTTTTTGTCCAAATTTAATCAATTGCATTACCTTTAATGGACATTGACATGGCTCATGTTTGTGCTTGGTTTCAAGACATGATCACATTGTAGTGATTGTACTCAAAACATAACAAGAATATATAAAACCTAACATATAAATGGATCATATTAATCAGAGTTCAGATCATTTATATCACGTCATATTAATCAGAGTTCAGGTCATTTATATAGCATCAGGTTCGAATCATGCTGTCATCTCAAATTAAAGTCTCAAAGATAGCCACATCTATTATGCTGATTGGAGCCAGCAGTCCCCAAGCCATATGCATATAACAAAAAGCAGTATCATTGGGGGGCAAATTATTCATTTTTGCTGCAGCATATTCTACATCACACATAGCTGCAAGGTGCAAAACTGCAAACTGCAAAGTACAAGGCAACTAGCGAAACCCATGAACAACTTGGAATAGAATATGATCACTCATGAACTATTCCCACACAAAAATGCAGGGAGTTAAGGCTGGCAGGACAAAACAGCAAGTAATTGTTCAAAGGTCCTCTAGAAAAATCCCCAAAATTTAAAAATTATAGGTTAGGCGAGAGCTAAAACTTAAGGCCTCATTCAGTGATTCTTTTCACCTTGTATCTAAACTTGGCAGAACTTTTCATTAATATAACAGTATTTACTTAAATTTAGTGGTGAATTGAATTTGGGTAGCCCAATTGTAACCTTTTTTCCTTATCTAAGCTTGTTGGCTTTATTTTTCCTGAAACGTTTTTATATAAGGAAAAATTCGTGGGAATAATCCCACCTTTAGGCCACTCGTTTTTAATAATCCCACCTTTGAATTATTTTCTAATAATCCAACCTTTACCCCCCATTCTTTTTTATTGGTCCCATTTTACCTGAAACTGGTTGAGGAGGTAAAAAAAATTAAAACACCCAGACCCAAACCCAATTCAGCCACCACCATCCCCACCACCACCCAAACCCAAACCCAATTCAGCCACCATCCCCACCAGACCCGAACTCAAAAACCCCCCCACCAGCGTCCCCCCTCCCCCACCCCGATTCCAACCACCCAACGCCGGTGCCGCTTAACCCCCTCCCCTAAACCACCAACACGCCAAACCCTCCCCCGAAATCCCAGCCCAGCCAACCCCTCCCCCTAAACAACGCATCACCATCATCATCAAAGTGAGCACACACTAGTGACTACGGTCTTCGCGCACGCACCAGTGGGTCTTCGCATTGAATTAGTGGCTGGTTGTGATGGCGTTTGATAGGCTATTGAGAGGCTACCGCTGTTTAATTGTTGTTAGTGGTGCGGCGTTTGGAGGTGGGTTGGGCGGTTTGTGTGAGTTAGATTGGGTTGCTGACTCGAAGCAGGCTGCGTGATTGATTGTTGCGGTTTGTAATTTTTGGTGTTGCATGGCTGTTGAGTTGCAGTGGCTGGCTGATTCGGTGCTGCTTGGGGTGCGCGGCTGATCTGGTTGTGGTTGGGGTTATGTGGGATAGCTGGTGGCTGGTGATGTGGTTGTGGGGTTGTAGCTTGTTGTTGTTGCAGGTTGTTGTTGATGAATTAGAGGAGCAGGGGAGCTGAATTGCGTGAGTGGTGGTTTATGCTCTGGCGGTTATGGAGGGAAGAAGGGAAAGGGGAAGGGGAATTATAAAAAAAAAATAATAAAAAAAAAAAAAAAAAACTTTTTTTTTCTTTTAAGTTTTTTTTTTGACCAATCATAGGCCGCCACGTGTCATGTAACCTGTTATAACAGGTTACATGACCGGTTGGGACCAATAAAAAAGAATGGGGGGTAAAGGTCGAATTATTAAAACATAATCCAAAGGTAGGGTTATTAAAAACGAACGGCCCAAAGGTGGGATTATTCCCATGAATTTTTCCTTTATATAAAATATACAAAAACAAAGCCTAGGTTTATGACTAAATGTAACTTCAAAATTTTGCAAGTTTCACCAACTTGTGGGAAACAGAATAGCTAAATGTGTGATGGAATGCCACCTTTTTAGTAGTGAATCATTTCCTTAGCATAATGAGATCTTACAAACCCCTGTTTGATAATGAAGGGTGAGTACATTGACATACCTGAAGATAAATCTTTTGCAGTTGTCTCCATGGGCAAGCAGGGACCATATTATTTATGCTAGTGTCAAGCAATGGTACTGCAAATTTAACCTCCTCTGGCTATGCTAAAGTTTAAAAAATAAGAAATAACAGTATTATGATACTATCAGAATAAACTCTAACCTAACAAAACTTTAACTGAATAAAAACAAACATTCTTATGCGGAAATACCTTTTCAACTCCAGAACTCAAAGACATCTCAATTCCCTGAAACAAGAAACGATGACAATTAGAATATATAAGCTGACGAACTAATAGTTATTTAGTTAAATCTGTCCAATTACATTCCCTAGTCTCTTGCTTAAAATGGATGTCGAGGGGACATGTTGCGATTGTTAAGATAAGGAGGAAGTACAAGTTATTTGACTCCATCATGCCTTCCCAAATCTAGTTATTTGAATGATCTCCCCACATCTATTTATTTGTTAGGAATCTTATAAACACAACTTCCTTCCTCCATCTTAAACATTATAACCATGTATACTCGCTACCGATCGCCTTAGGGTAAAAATTTAGGAGAAAACATTTTCAAAGATTGATACTGCATCAATAAAATTACCATGACCCCTAAAACCAACACAAAGGCACAGTCTGAGACAAGATAAAGGTATGAAGAGGCAATACCTCCCTGGACAACATAGTGCTAATTTCAAACTTCACCCGATCATCATCAACACCTCCAACACGCTTCCATTGATAAGCTGAATATAATTCCCTGGAGGATCAATTCAAACGAAATATTACTCCCAACTCAAATACTCGAACTTGTTGATTTAAAATATATGAATTCAATTAACCTGAGTTGAAGAATGAGAGACAATAATCTAGAAGGGTCCTTGCTATTCCAATTGCTTAAATTATGCATAGGTGATTTGCTAGGATCACATGATAAAACAAAGGGGAGAAACTTATCATCTTCTGCCCCGAATATAACGTCCGGCGGAGCCAACGGACTCTCCACATTGTATATAATATCCCCTGTATACCCATCAACAAACCAACGAATTAAAGTTTCTGATAATATATGGAAAAAAAAATTACAAAAAAAAATTAAAAAAATTTAAAAAAAAATTAAGAAATTATTCCATCGAACGGACTCTCCCCTGGCTCCAGGAATAGCGACATGCAGTTATAGAGCTCACATTTGATAAAATCGAGGCAGAAGGGAATGAGCAAGGTAAACCGATCATTCCAAGCGTTTTTCTTGGAGCCAGGCCACATTTGATCAACCTAAAATCAATTCAAATACATAAATTTAGGGTTTCCGATGAGCCAAATTCATAAGCTTAGGGTTTCTGACAATTCAAATTCATTAATTTAGGGATGCTTAATTTGAAATTCATAAAAATAGGGTTTCTGATCATTCAAAATCCAAAATTCAGTGTTTGTGATAATTCAAATTGAAGAACCCTAGAAATTGAAGAAATCGAGAAGAGAGAGAAAAGAGGGAAGAGTATTACCTTGATAGAGAAGGGAGAATGAGAGAGAAGGTGGTTTAGCTGAGCAGCGATGATAGGTGGAACTCCGTCGACCGCCATTGTTGTAGACTGAGAGAAGCTTTGTTGTTGGAAATTCGTTGACAAACAAGAGTCATCAAACTGATGCCAAACCAGATCTTTGTTTTGGATGTTGCTTTTTTTTTGCTGAGTTGTAGTTTGGGACTTCTGATACTTCAAAAGTCCAAAATCTGATCACTGAATAATTTACTCCGTAATAATATACACAATATACTCTTTTATTTACACTTTATTTGGATGGAAGGAAATGGAGAAAAAAAAAAGGAAGAGAAATGTAGAGATGGATATGGAGGAATTAAATTATACTCGTAAGAAATTAATCTCTCCAACAAGATTTGGAAAGAAAACTCATCTTTCTCCCTCCCTCTCCCTTCTTTTCCTTTCCCTTTCTCTATCCAATTACACTTAGTATAAATGTTCTCTCTTTCATTTTAGCTAAGTAAACTCGAAGCCAACAATGGAGATCTTGAGTTACTTTTTAAGGAGAGTTACTTTAAAATTTTTGATAATTGGCTCTATCTAATTGTGTGACTTATGTCCAAGAGGGTCCATAAAAATCCAACTTGCACTAGGCGAAAAATGGTAATGAGCACCGGTTCAAAACCTCCATTTAGCACCGGTTTTGAACCGATCCAGAGTTGAGGGATGCCAAAAATCAGGAGATTTCGCACAGATTCAAAGTCGGTGCCAATTCTTAGATTTCGCACTGGTTCTTGCTGTGAACCGGTGCGAAAAATGGCCCAAAAAAAAATTAGCACCAGTTCTGTTTCACAACCGGTGCCAAAAATGCCCCAAAAAAATAATTTTTTTTTGTTTTTGCATTTTTTCACTTAAATTGATATAGAAACACTAACATATATATAAAGTTACATATTTTCATTAAAAAAGGCTGTAATATTACAATTAACAAGCACTTCAACATCTTTATGCTGTAAACTTGCTGCATCTGCTGGTGGTTGCTGCTGTTGTTGGTCCTTTTTGCTATTTTGTTGTGCTGGCTGTTCACGTGAAACTAAGTGTGCATCTTCTTATCATTTTCTTTCTGATTCTCCTCAATTCTATCTTGATGCTCTAATTCCTATAGAGCAAAAAAAAAAAAAAAAAAAAAAAAGGATCACACAGAAATAACAAACTACTAGAATCCTTTCTCTTAACATCCAAAGAAAAATTCAAGTAGGAATCCTTAATCAATTAATCTTAGACTGTAATATGACCTAAAAAATAACCACAACAGAAGAGAGTAATGTTGCATAAGAAAAAACACAACTATCTCAGGCCCATTCTTTACCATTTTTTTATGCCTTATCTCTAGATCCTTCAACAAGTTCAGCCACAGCCCACATTGGAATGAAGTTTCTTGACAACTGATCCCAAAATTGTTTTAAGACTGCATGTTTCCAATAAAACTAACTTATTCTGTTATGGAAAGAAGCCACGAAGGCAGACTTTCATAACAACTTTGACCAAACACCTGTGGAAAAAATTAAAAAGTCAAATTAATTCAATATTATTTTAACAAAAAAACCATCAAACACACAGTTACAGAGAAACTTGAATGACTTTAATCTCATTGCATATGTACAAGGGTAAAAGAAAACAAAAATAAGCAGCCAAGGTTGTATATCCCGAGCCTTCAAAATGGTAAATTAGCACCATGACTTGAAGCGGGTAGAATTTGTGTGTGTGTGTGAGAGAGACTGGACGTTAGATGCACTTCAAGTTCTTACAGAACCATAATACAGATACTACAGTCAAATGAACAAAAGTTGTACAAACCAGAAAATTCTTCTTGCATGACAATTACTCAACAATAAAAATAGAATTTTAAATTGTATTAAGTCCAGACACCACAACTCAGAATCAATTTCCACAACATTAACACTCTTTTAAAATATGCATGCATTGTCATAAAATGATTCAAATACATCAAAATCGCATAATTAATTTCATTGGATCATCCAAACCAGCAACAATTTCACAGAAAATTAACACAAAATTCCTTTAACCTAAGAAAATACAAAATTGACACAAAAATCCTAAAAAAGCAAAATAAAATTCACAGAAAAATCAAAAGAATCACCAAAAAAAATTAAAATAATTACCTGACCTTTAACCTTGAGATTGATATGAGTAGCTTGATCAGGAGCAGGCTTCTTATCTTCATTAAAAGCGTTGTTACCTCCATTGTTGTTGGTATCAGTTTCTCCAGCCATCTTCAACAAATTTTGAACAACGTTACATCAATTAAACCCAAATTTCAAAGCATTTAACATGAATAATTGGACCAAAATATAAAGCAAAGCTAAGTAACCCAGAAACCCTAACCTCGAATTTCTGATTTTTGGTTCGAAATTAATTCGAATTTGTTGTTGTTGAAGATGCACGTACATCGAATTGATTCAAAATAGACGCATCCAGAAACCCTAACCTCCAATATTGTAAATTTAATAAATAGACGGCGGCGGCGACGATGGTTGTCCTTGGTTCGAATTGACGCCGGTTTTTGAAGGAGGGCAACAGGTCGTTCAAGGCTGATAGATTAGGGTTTGTTTGAGGAGAGAGGAGAGAGAAGAGAGAAGAGAGAAATAAGAAGGAAGAGGGGAAATAGAAAGAAGGAAAAATTGACGGCGGCGACGATGGTGGTTGTCCTTGGTTCTAATGACGCCGATTTTGGACAGAGAAGGAGAAGAAGATCGAAAGAGAGAAGAAAGGAAAGGGAAAGTGGAGGTTATGGAGAAGGAGATCGAAGGAGAGAGAAGGAGTATGAGGAAAGTGTTGAGAGAAAGCTCAGAAGCCCTTTCAATGGAAAATTTTGAGTACGCTTCAATGGAGGAGAGAGACAGATGAGAGAGGAGGAAAGATCGAGGAAATGAAAGAGAAAGAAAGAGTATATATACAGACCGGGTTTTTTTTTATTTAACAATAGCTTTTGCACCAGTTCAGCTTGAACCGGTGCGATTAACTCATTTTTCGCACCGGTTTGGTTAGAACCGGTGCGATTTACTAATTTTTCGCACCGGTTTGGTTAGAACTGATGCGAAAACACTTTCTCTCAATCCCGCCTATTTTTTCGCACCGGTTTTTAAAAACCGATGCGCATTTGGCGGTGCTCAGTTAAGTTTTTCTACTAGTGTTGTTTTTGGCTATTCTCACATATGAGTAAATTTTCAGACACAAACACTCACCACTGTTTAGGTATTCAACTATTTCTGAACAAGTATCTTAAAAGTGTTTTGTATGTAGAGTTAAATAGTAGAGAAAATGAAAAGTTGTATAGAGGAAGGCTTTAAAAGTATCTGCAAAGTGGTATAGAGGGTTTTTACCCCTTCCATTTTTTTCTCTCTATCCACCATTTTTTACACTTCACTTAGGGCCTGTTTCGATTTACTGAAAACAACTGAACTGAACCGATTGGGCTTGAACTGAACTGAATAAAGCTGAAATAAATTGTTAATGAAAGAAGGAAATTAGGAACTAAACTGAATTGATTGGAGCTAAACTGAACTGAACTGAAATTAAGCTGAACAAAACAGGCCCTTAGGGAGGAATTCTCAACCTATAATATCTTTGGTCTTTAAAGATCATGATAAGGCTATAGTGCACAAATTTAGTGAATTTTTTTTTATCCTACATAATATTATTGAGAATGTAAGTTATAAGCACATACTAAAAAACAATTAAGTTTGTTTTTGGTACTTTTTCTTTCCTTCAGCTTAAGTTTTTTTTGGTATTTTTTCTTTCCTCTGGATTTTAGTATTGGCTTGGTTTTGAGTATGTGCTTATAACTTACGTTCTCAATAATATTACGTAGGTAGTACAATTTCAATTATTTTTACCTCTCACATTGAAGGTTTCCTTGGGTGATCAATAATATAATTTTTTTTTTAAAAATCTTCCACATTTTGATGTCATATTCATGTTAGTATACTCGGGTGTTGTTTGGTTGGAAGATAATTTCCTTGGAAATGGAATTTTCTAGGAAGTATTAAAATGAAGGTGTGTTTGATTGGTGGGAAATAAGCTAAACATGGGAAATAGAAATTCCAGGGGAAATACCAATTCCCACAACCCATGGGAAATTACTCACCAACTCCCCTCTTGGTGAGTTTAATTTCCTAAGAAATGCAATTAGTGTCAACCAAACAATTTAGCTTAATTCCTAAGAAAATCATAAGGGAAAAAGTTTTCCCATGAAATATAAAAACCCATGGGAAGTTAATTCTGAAGGAAATGTGTCCTCGACTCTCGTGCAATTACTAATATAATATGGATGGTATTATGGAGATAATAAGTTCGTTTAATTGGGTCGTCTTTACTTCTTGCTAGAGACCAATATTGATTATTGGGTTAAACCAATGCCAACTAAATGGATCCTATGAGGTCACACATTACAGTGTTATGTCGAACAAGCTAAGCAAACCAAGTCCAAAAGTTGGGCTTAGTGAATGACTAGCCATAAGGAGTAAGAGAGGAATAAGTCTTGCCCTAATTGGATAATATGATTATATAATAAAAGGTTTGGGGGAAAAAATATAGACGTTCATCTTTCACAAAAAAAAACAACATAATATTTTTCTCTTCCTCTCTCTCAACAACCGGTTAGAAGTTCTCCATAGAAGAGGAGATTAATCTCTCCCGTCCAACTAGCATTGGTGGAGGTTCGATCTACGCTTGTGGACCAATAATAGAGGAGCAACAATTGGGGCTCTAATCTCCGAAGAAGGTTGAAGAAAGCTTGGGAATTCACGCATCAAAGGTTAATTCTAAACTATTATGTGATCCTTTATTTGTATATGCATGAGATCCTATTTAGGTGCGTATGAATGAGATTCATGAAATTTTGCTTAGAGTACCTATACAAATTCCCATGTGAACCAAACGAGCAGTATTATGCAATGTGTCAAAATTAATTATTGAGTTAATCTATACCAATAGATCGTATATTAAAAAGCATTTTAAAGAAAGTCTATGTAAATTCTCCACAAGATTTGAACATACAACCTCTAATTTTAAAATTGAGCGTCTTACCACCAAGCTAGGTGATTTTTTGGTTATCCTTTGACACAAAATATTAATATGTATAACAAATTTAATTACAAGAAAAAATGTAATGACCTAGGGCATCGCCGGACCCAAATACTAGTTCAGTGACTTAACTAGTATAGCACCCGTGCGATGC